AGGAAAGGCGCGCGTAACACTACACTGTACGTTTAGATGGCCATGATGCATTCTATAAAGCCGGATTTGAGAGTTGGTTCATGTCTGGCTAAACTGTATTCAGTTTTTCGTTCTGTATCCTACATATATTTGTACTTTTGTTGTTCAGTCCAGTTTTTCGTATATTCGAGTTGTCATAGGCCTGAAAATAGTTAAAAGTAAAATGGTAATCATTTTTAAAAATGCGATTTTTCATAGATGCGAAAATAAAAATAAAATGGTATATTCGTTTACATAAATCGATTTGTCTTAGATGCGAATAGTTAAAAAATGAAATGGTATATTCGTTTTATAAAATAGATTTTTCGTAGACGTGAAAATACTGAATTATAAAATATAGCAATTCTTAGAAAGTCGATTTGTCATAGGCATGAAGATAGTGAAATAAAAGATCGTATATTAAATTTTTAAAATGTACATATCTCTAAATCGTGATTTTTTGGTATATTCAGTTTATCAGGGGAGATTATGATGCAATAGAATATACATTTTTTTCTCTGAACAATCATACGTTATATTTCAGCAACTAAGCTTGCATTTACCTTATTTTCAAATTAAAGTCCTACACTTCAGAATTTCCTTTTTACATTTAGCTAAATTCCAAGCTTAAAAAAGAAAAAAAAAAGCTTAAGAGAAAAAATATTCGCCATATTCTCTCTCTCTCTTTCTCTTTCTCTCCCTCCCTCCCTCTCTCCGTCCCTCCGGCTCTTTCTCTCTCTCTCTCTCTCTCTCTCTCTCTCTCTCTCTCTCTCTCTCTCTCTCTCTCTCTCTCTCTCTCTCTCTCTCTCTCTCTCTCTCTCTTTGACATTACGGAGTTTCTACTTTCTATCTCATTCCTTAGCGTAATAATATGTCTCTCAAAGGCCAACGCATAACATCCTGTGGCTCTATGAACTCGTTTTCTGTTGAATTACCTTCAGTTTTTCAGTCTCTATGTTATTACAGTCAATGTAGTAATTTTCTTTATGTGATATGCTTTACTGTTAATATTATTATTATTATTATTATTATTATCATTATTATTATTATTATTATTGTTGTTGTTGTTGTTATTACTATTATTATTGTTATTATTGTTTTGTTGTTGTCGTTGATATTATCATTTTTATTATTACTATCATTATTGTTATGATTAGTATTGTTGTTATCATTATCATTAATTTTATTATTTTATATAAATGTATATCTATAAAAGAAAGTAATATTATCCATATACTTTCACCGAATATTTTTTTTTTCTATCAGACATTCGTTAGTTTAACAAAAAAAAAAAAAAAAAATCATAAGGTTTTATTAGTTGTAAAAGTCATGGCACTGAATGGTCTGTTTTTAATACTATCGGCATAGTCTTAAAATAGTTATTAAGATAAAGTAAGATAACATTTACAGCAAACAACAACAACAGCCTCTATAATAGCAAACATAGTGATGCTAGTAATAAAAGAATAATAGTAATAGTAAATAGCAACAATAATAATACTAGTTATAATAGTAATAGTAAATAGCAAAAATGGTAATAGTTGTAATTAAAGTGATAGTAAACAGTAACATTATTAATAGTAGTAATACTATTAATACTAGTAATAATAATAGCAGTAGTAATGACAGTAATAGTAATAATATAGTAACAGTAGTAATAATACTAGTAGTAGTATAACAGTAATAACAATAATAGTGATAGAAGTAATAATAGTAATAGTAGTAATAAGAGCAAAGCAGTAATAATAGTAATATTAATAGTAGTAGTGATAATAATAGTAGTAACGATAATAATAGTAGTAATGGTAATAGTAATAGTAATAGTAATAATAGAAATAGAATAATAATAGTAATAACAACGAAGGCTGCTCACAAACCTCGATAATCTTCCATATTGTTTTTTCTCCACGTTTATCTGTTCCTCTCTCTTCTTATTTTCTTCTTATCGATGCTTTAACTCGTGTTCCTTCTTTCCTTCAGCTCTTTTTCCTTTTTTGGTGTCTTCAGAAAGTTTTATCTTCGTTATTCGTTCTTCTTATGTCTTTCTCATTTCCTATTTCCTCTTCCTTTCTTCCTTCCTATTTTTTATTTTATTTTATTCTATTTTTGGTCATCATAAAAAAGACAAACTAGCCTTGTATCTAATTGTTATAACCTCCCCCCCCCCCGCGAACTCGTCTCGATCTCCTTCAAGGTACAAAACTGGAGCAGTGTTGCCAGCGACATTTCCACAAAACCGCTAGACAGAGAGAGAAAAAAAAACACAAAAAACACCAAATTTCCCCGCTTAAAAAGAAAAAAAAAATCGCAAAAATCTAGAATAAACTTGCGAAAAAAAAGAAAAACCAAAAATCCTCGCTAGAGCCAATCTCAAAAACGCTAGAACGAGCGGGAAAAATCGCTAGAATGGCAACACTGACGCTACTGAAGGAGATTATGCTACTCGCCTTGGCCCGAAGTAGTCACGTGATCATTGTCTTTA